ACACACACTGACCTGGACACCACTTAAAGACCCCCTGCTCAACAACTTAAAAAGACAGCGGACTGACACACCTGCTATCTGCAACCTGCAATCTGAGAATCTATCACCGCTCGGCGTTAGCTTTGGTTTGGAATTCAGTTGGTGGAGAAAAAAAAGAAAGAAAGAAAAAGAAATAACAGACACATATATGGAAAAGCAAAAGTACGATCCAAGGAAAAGAGCTGAGATTGAATTGTTTAACTCAGAGTTCAGGTTGTCAATCATATTTAAAAAAGAAGAAAATAAAGATGATATGTTTGCCATTGAGCTCGGCAAACACAGATAAGGCAACAATTATGGTTTCCCTCTTAGGGTAAAATATGAATCTACAGGAACAGATTTTTTTTTCATTTTTTTAAAGAATATGCATCTATTAAAAACTTTTTCCTCACATTTTACTCTTTAAACTTTTGTCATCTTTGGTTTCAACAGAACAGAAGATTTAATGGAAAGAGAAACGTGGCGCCACGTTAAATCAAAACCATTTTCAATTTTCCCCCCCAAATTTTCCAACTTTTATCAAGAAACAAACTAACTGAGACATAGAAACAGATTAAATCCTTTCCCGCCACACACACACACACACACACACACACACACACACACACACACACACACACACACACACACACACACACACCAGCCATTTCACAAGAAGGAAATATCCAGATTTGTGTTTACATTCCCCTGCTCTCTGGACTGTCACATCTGCAGTTTATGTCTCAGTTAGACGAATACACAAATCCAATCTACGGAACGTTAAATAGTGGCATAAAATCTACGCTTCAAACTACGAGGCCTTTTTCTCTGATGTGTCCTTCAAGCCAAGGAGGCTGGGGGACCAAAGAATGGAAGCGAAGGCTGATGCCCGGTTTCCCGCGTTGCTCTTACCTCGTTGTAAGAAGTTGTGGTCCCCGTCTCCAGGTACAACATGTTGGCACTAAGATTGAGCAGAGCTGCTGCTGTTTGCTCCACTGGCTCCAGGATTCCACAAATCTCTTTTCCTCACTCTAAAAGGAGTGATGTGGACTACAGATGCAAAGTGGACAAGCAGAAGCTCCTATAAGAATCTATGGGATGGTCATATATACCTTGGAAGAAAAGGGGGTGGGCCTGAGGAGCTTTACCTGTCCACACCCAGAAGAAGAGGCCTTGCTCTGCAGAGAAAACTCTGCAGAGAAAACGAATGACTTTGTCGACTTGGCAGCTTTGATTATAATGAACTGCAAACCAAAAAAAGCATTTCAGACGTTTTATTAATTTTTATATGCAACGACGTGACAACGCAGAAGGCAAAGCGACAGAAAATGGAGGAAAAAAGTATGTTTTGTCTTGAATTTCCAAAAAGCAGCGCTGTTCTCAGACGAATTAAAACTAAAACATTTTAAATGAGTTTTTAACAAAAAAAGAAATGCCTCAGGTGGTTTAAAATAATTTTCCAAATTAGAAAAACAGAGATGAGAGAGACGATTAATTCCTACAGTGCAGGCCGCTGAGTGGGAGCTGGGCTCGGGACAGATACACAGTTGCTTGTTAGCATAAGAATGGCTCCCCTCTGAAGCCCCAGAGCACTCTGAAAGGAGAGGCCTGCAGGAAAACAAAGGGACTCCCGTAGATTACTTGTATCTATCAGAGATGACTGCTGTAGATCTGTTTTGGAAACATGCATTGTTTCTCAGCCTGTGTAATGACGGTGGGACTGAGCCGCTCGCTCTCCTGTGACTCCAGCAGCTCCAATAAGAGTGGGATTCAATTTAACTTGGGATTCATACAGTTTGTGCAGAGAAGCTTCTTACAACTGTTGGGTGATGCTGAGACATTTTTCTAATGAATTGTTTTGATTAATATGAACTAAAAACATGCACAACGCAGAAGTAAAAAAAAAAAAAAATCACAGAAAATTGACATTATAGGCTCAGATGAACATCTAAAAGAGCATGTGCGTCTTTATATAATCACATAAAATGATAATTATTTTGACTTAAGAGGAGATACTGCAGATATAATGATATTTGGATATGGCCAGCTGATGTGCTATATGGCAGAGGTAGAGGAGGAGGAGGAGGAGGAGGAGGCCAGTCAGCAGGGCACACATCACTCCTTTGGTGACGGGGGGATAAAAATCTTGCCCTGTGGTCAGAATGATTTGAAAGTTGTCTGAAATCTAAAGCACAACTGTGACGTGCAGTCAGTGTCTCCAATCATCAACCACACCCCGCTCAGGCCCCGGGGTTTCAGGCCTGCAGGTCAGCCTGTCACAAAAGGCAAATCAACACTTTAAAGAGCTCAAGCCAGCGGCCTCCTAAGACTCCCGGCCTCAAACACGGGCCAACCTGCAGCTTCTGAGGGTGATCATTTGTTTGGCAAAACAAACTTCTAATTATGTTAAAACAACAGTGACCTGCGAAAGAGGTTAGAGTCCTCAGTTTGTGGCTAATGCTGCAGTAAATTACAGAACAGAGGCTGTAAAATGCAACGAAGGCAGGAGCTGCACTCCAAAACAGATCCATTTCTACAGCAATGTACTGATAAGCGTAAACATTAGATTCGTGATAGGTAACATTATGACTAAAAATGTCACGACAGCATGTAGAAATAAACAGCTGGGTTCTTCAAAGACCCCAGTCGGTCACTTGAAGGTTAACTGCGTCACCTCGGCTGCTACAGCGGTGAGAAACTGAGTTGGAGCAAGCGGCGACTAAAGATCTGCAGATCCAGAGGCTCAGACAAAAGAGGCTTTGCTAAAGTTTTTCCTTTTAAAGAGGCTAGTCCTAAAGTCTGCTAGATTAGTTTAGTATCGGGTGTCGGGCTGCAGAGGCTGCAAAGGCACAGACACCTGACCTAAAACAGAGTAAGCTGCCGTCCTCACTGACAGACGCAGATGGCCGACCGAGCAGCAGAAAGCATCACTTGGGTGGCAAATCCCAAAATCCTCACAATCAACTGCCACCAAATCCTGAATCACTGAAGCTGCTTTTGGGGAAGCTAATTTATCCACAGACACATTTTATAAGTGAAAGAGAAACTGGGAACATTTTCAGCAATGATTTTTACGACCTTCACTGACCAAATGGCTGCAGAGTCACACTTTTACATGCTAATTCAATTCTTTTATTTAAATACAAATAATCAGACAAGTGACGACACTGTAAAACAATGTGCTGGACATCTTACCTTCATCTTTGCATTAACAGAGCAGCCGGGATGTTTTTACACCTGTTTTAGCACTGTGTCACATACATACTGGTAAGTAAAAGGCCTCAAATTCAGTGCTGCAGACTCCGTTTAAATCTAAACTTCACACACTGAGAAGACGGAAAGTATTTTAACTTTTCAACTTCACCTGCAACCACGGAAACCCACTTTTAGTTTTAGTTTCCGAGCTGAAGCTTCTGGAGGTTCAAGTACTGAACACATCTGACTTGTCCTAAGCCTCAAGGTCCATGTGCGGGTCAAGCATGAGCCCCGAGTATTCACACTCTTTGGTCGGGTTTAAATGTGTAACCTGTTCTTTTTGAGTTTTCTGTGTGATCTATTTAAATGTTTCTGTAAAGCACTTTGCATCTATGTTTCAAAAAGTTTATTTTTCTATATTTACACACTCTGTCGAGTCCTGGTTCAAAATGGGCCTACTGGAGTTTATTACCTACTTTAACAGAAATCTCTCCGTTGTGCTATTTCTGACAATCTGATAAAGAAAAATGCTCATTTTATTTGCATATATGAAACGGTTAAAATCATTTTGGGGAATGCCAAAAATGTTTCTACTCAGGAAAAACCCTGGCACTAGAAAATGAAATGTAGATCGCGGCTCTGAAAACACGATCACTCGCACGGCCCGATTTTCAATATCCTCCAGTATCACAAACAATGAGTACGGAGACTCAGCCGCTTATTTCAAACAGAATCGCTGCTTTTTCATTTATCTGATCACCACAGACGCCATGCAGAAAGAAACTGTGAAACACAAAAGAACATTTTTTTAGCTCCTAATTGAATTTCAAAGTTTCTTTTACTGAATAAAAACATATAAACTAGTTAAAGATTTTAAGCCACTGAGCAGTAAAACCCTGGTTTTTCTGCCTCAGCTCTCACAATACTGCTGAAAAACCTGGTTTCAAACATGATATTTCTTAAAATAATATCCATAACAGGTTTTTCCTGCTGGCACCCCTGACTTTTCCCTTTAAGAAAATCACCTGGACTGGAAAAAATATTCTTCAAACCCTTGTTTATAAAAAAAAAAGCCCTAAAAAACATCTTTATGAGATATGCACAGACTTCAGTTAAGCCTGTGTCCTCACCACATCTGGACCAGCCACACTTGAGTGCACAGTCAGCTCTAAAGTCTCATTCTGAGACAGATAAAATGTCATCAAACAGTAGAAAACATTATTACTGAAAGATGTTTTCACCTGGTCACAACCTGCATGTTTTTTTGTTGAACCCGGCACCATATAAAACTGCGGCGTAAAAACACAGCTCACCATGACCAACAAAGAAAGTAACAGGGGCCCCACATCCCCACATCTAAACTCTGACTTCTTACCAAATCAACAGTCATTCAAGTGGACCGTGGCAAGCAACCGTTCTTTGGTCTTCACCTTTAAGTGCTGGAGGCAAACTGGTGGAGCATTAAAACAAAATAAAGGAGCGCTTTATGTCTGTTTACTTCATGCACCAGTTTGCTTCGGATTAAATAAAGTGTGATGTCCTGACGAATAAAGTTTGACGCCAAGCCTCTCGCTGCTTAGAAAGAGAAAAAAAAAAAATAACGTTGGGAGGTAAAGGCTCGAGGAAAGGGCTCAAACGCTGTGGTAATAAGCGCACCACATGTGCTAAAGTCTGCATTAAAAGCATTAATTTCAGCTCTGTTAAATGTGAGAAACAAAAGAGAAAACCCCTCATCTGCACAAACACTGAACACAGGGGCACTCACGCCGAGACACACAGTAGGTGAGGGGGGAAAAATCCAAACACAAACATGTAATTAGATCTCGAAGGAGCCTCGTGTTGATTGAGCTACTCCTCTGTAAAGTTGTTTAAACTCTAACCTGCGACTGAAAAGCACCTCGGTGCCTCTGCTCGACAACTGCATCTTCCACGCACAGCTGATCACAGCTTTATCTGGCTGTAAAATCAGCTGTTTGGGGTAGGATATAGCGTTTCTCCTGCCACGATCCCCGCTACATTCCTTCATGTTATTCTACCCTCTCCTTCCCCCTTCGTTGCCACCCCACCTCCACAACCTTTACATGGAGAAGACACGTACTGATAGATGAGACCTGGGACCTCTACAACAGAGGCAGGTGCTGCGTTAAATTGTTGCCCTGCAGCTACAGTGCAAAAAAAAAAAAGAAAGAAAGAAAGAAAGAAAGAAAAAAATGTAGAATAAAAAGGAATTTCACATTAAACGTAAAGCCCACACAATACAAATAAGTCCCCCGGGGCACTAAACAGTGAGCTGCATTCTAATGACTCATGAAAGAGGCACACCTCCACACGGGTGGAAGAGGAAGGGGGGCAGGTTGAGGGTGGGTTCGCCCACCGCAGCTTTTCATCAAAACAGAGGTATGACTCTGTAATAACGGCTGGGGCTTGGTGACTGGCAAGCGGCCACCGGAGTGCACTTTTAGCCCACACCGATGCTGCCAGATCTGCTGCTGTGCCAATCGCTGCACCACGCCCCTCTCTGGTGCACAAAGTGGAAAGTGGGTGGTGGGGGTAGAGCCGTTAATCATCAGTTCAAGAGAGCACAGGCCCCCTTGGGGGATGAGCAGTGTAACGTTACTCAGCTCCCCGAACAAAATTTTTATTTGCTATTTTTTTCCCGCCCTGGCTGGACAACGGCATTCCTGCACTGGGAGGGGAGCGTGCACATCATCGCTGAGCAGCAGAGCTGACAAGGACATGCCCCGCGCTACAGGTCAAACATGGATTTACAAACCTGTGTTTTAACTCAGTGTTTTCTCTGGGAGACGCAGAGAAGACCGAGGTGAAAAGATGGGTGAAACTGACACAACTGAGCTGAACTTTGTTTAACTAAAACTCAGCCCCGATCGTTTCTTTCACCTAATGATTGACAAAAAATATGGTGAGGTGTGGGATGTGAACTTTTTGGCGCTTCTAAAGTGGGGCATACCAGAAAAAGTTTGAAAACCACTGATCTACAGCAAGAGAGATGATTTAGGAATGAGTTTCCTTGTTAAAGCCTTCACACACTATCCCCCATCAGTGTAGGCTGGATGTGCAATGAAAGCGTCGCTGCTAAGGATGCCATTATTGCACAAATGTAAAGAAAAACACCAGAACTGGCTGCGTAGCTGCAAAGAAGCATGAGAAATATGGCAGATACAGCAAAAATTGAGATCATTCCTTAATTTTTCTTAGTAAAACTAAGTAAGAGTGTACATGAAAAACCTAGAAATGGGAAAAATGGGAGTAGAAACACTTTATAGTAGTCACATATAAACACTGTAAATAAAAACGGCAGCATTCACCTGTATGCATATGCTGGTATAATCATCAGAGCCAACAGCCAATCATGTGTCGAACGTGTTTCCGGCCCTGACATCTCCTGCATTGAGGTTTTTATCTTTTTTTCTCGCTGCAGTCCTTCCCTCTTGGTTTTTTTTTCCTTTTTAAAAACAGACCCAACCCCCACAGAAACTATTCAGTGCTCAGCTTTTTATCAGCACTGCTTATACGCAGCACATCTTTAAGCTCAGTTTCTAGAAACTCACAATGTCCTGGACACCCAGTATTTAAAGACTTCAGATAAAAAAAAATTACTCTTGGGCCTGCTAAGAGTTAACGAGGGCAATAAGCTTGGTATCAGGACTTTTCATACTGAAGAATATAAACCACAAAGACGTGGATGGACCATCTTAGAGGTTCTCTTGTCTGATGTTACGTCAGTTTTTGGCATTTTCTTCCTGCCTGACTGTGTTCATCTCTGCCCATCGGAGACCCTCGATAGAACCTTTTATTGATAACGGGTCAACCCTCATGAACCATCTTTTCTTTGTTAAATGTGACTATATCAGCCGAACCGTAGCTCTGTGGCAAACCAGCAGGTAGCAAATCATTACACCTGAACTAGCCTGACATCACCCATCTTCTTTTTAAATCTTCTTCTCATGGATGCTGGACTTCTTACAGAGCTTTGATTAGCAGTTAGCTGATTGTGTTGATGCCTGAAAAGCGTACAGCCATGCAGCTGCAGAGAAGCAGTACTTGCAAAGGTGGGTTTCACACGTTTTCTGATATTAAATTCTTCTATAATTTTCCTTCCACTGCAGCTGCGTCTTGTTATATGTGGTGAAACTGAAACAATCAGGCTATCTGTACTAAGATGTCGCAAGCATGAACTCCTTCTCTGTCCAAAGAGGGATGCGTCATGTGACATTGACAAGCGTGCACGCTACTATCAACTCACTACCTGCCTCAGAGGAGCCACCCAGGTCAAGCACAGCTCAGGCTAAATCAGATAAAATCGCCAGCTTACAGACAACATCTCAGGAAAAAACAGATAAACCTTTCTTCACCGGTGTGTGGAACCACTCCGCACCACCTTCTCTTAACCTTCCCAGGGAAATTCCATTGTTAATTTGAAAGTAGGTTCTGTGTTTTACAACATGTGTAATTTACACTGTGAATCCAATCAACTCAGAATGAAAGTGATAGCATACGGCTCATAAATGATGAAAAATGCACAAAATAATTAGCTACCGAGATAATGGTGAGTCATTTAAGGAGAAGCATGGTTTTCCGCTTCGGGGCATGAGATGAAGGCCTTGGAATTTACTGGTTAAAAAATAATAGCCTTCAAAAATAAATATTTGATTGTTTCTGTGAGTATTGAACCAAAAACCAGGCTGTAAACTGGTTATTTAGTTTACTGGTTGCACTGTGCATTATTAAATAATGGGCTCAAACAATCCTGAGCACGTCACAGGTTACTTGTATTGTTCCCTTTATAAATTATTTGCTCTCAGGCAGCAGAATTTAAAGTAAATAATTTATTTTCCCACTGAAACCTCACATGTACTTACAGAAAGCGGTTCATCCGGCTCACGCATGGTTATGCAGTCCATGCTGATCTGAATGGTGTTTCCTGTCGACCCGTCGGCCGGACTGTCGCTGAAGTTCAGCTCGATGGGCTGGACTGAATGAATGGCAGATCTGAAACAGCAACAATACAGATTAATGGGTCGTTCCATGTAAAATAAACCAAATCTGAGAAACGTTTCTATACACCCCCCCCCTCAGAATCTGCTGATTTTTATTTACAGGGATTTCAATACATTTATTGACCCATCATATTATGAATATTTTTAGCTTTTGGAGTACACAGTGATTGTTTTTAACTTGTGCTACATTTTCTAGAATTCTTGAGCCTTCATAACTTACAGTCCAGGAGATATTCACATTAAATATTAAACCCATTTACGCTCTGTTAAGAACTGATTTCAAATCAATTTTGGACCCACTCCAAGACTCAAAATCTAAATTCTTGTTTATAGCAGTGTGTAGCTGCGTGCATCGGTGTGAATAAACTGTCTGTAACGCAGAGGAACAGAATCGATTACTGGCACGCCGGATGTTTCATCTGTTTTCTGATAAATCACTGGCGCAAACTTCAAAAAATGAATTCTGGGTAAACTTTCAAGGTTCACCATGTCGTTAGCGTGTGGGATAGTTTGGCTAGATTGTGGTGTGGGCGTGAAATTGATCAGGCTTATGTGTCTCTCTCCCTCCTCTCTCTCATCTGTCCTGTGATTTCATGCTGTGATACATGTAAAATTATTACTCTGGGAGAAAGTTAGGGTTAGCAGCAGAAGCTCTCTGACTTTTGTTCTTGCACCGGTGCCCTCTGCCTCTCTGCAAAGTCTCACTGTTTGCTCACCCAGTGAACAGAGCAGAGACAGACAGAGCTAACAGAAGAAGGGGGAGAGAGGAAAGTGAGACATTTTTTTTTTTAACTTAAGTCGACCTATAGCTCAGGAAATATGACACAGGAATAAAACTGACACATACAAAAGGAATTCAGGATGTTAGCTATTGACTGAAATATATAAGAGCTACACTGACCCGGCTCACAGAGACAAATGAGCCACCAGAGAACAAGACTTTAAAATACAACTGTAAATTTATTCTTTTACAAGTTAACTGTATATTTATACAATTAATAACCGAGTCCTTAATAATGCTGACGTTATTATTGACAAATAAATGAATATTGAAACTAATTTGTTTCCAGATATGAACATTTTTAGAGAAAAAAACCCCCGTAAATGAACAATTTTTAATCAGAGTACAGAATCAAGTCAGTTAAACTTCTATATTGATATAATATCAGTATAGAAGTTATACTGACAAAATACTGATCTGGTCAGTTAAATAGCAGAGGGGTTGTTAATCATTTTCAGCTGATTTAGTGTTAATGAAATTATTATTGTAGGGTCTACCTTACAATATAAAGCGCCTTGAGGAGACTGTTGTTGTGATTTGGTGCTGTATAAATAAAACTGAATTAAATTAAATTGAACAATAGGCACACTACAGGGGCAACCAATCCAAAATAGGAATGGTTTTACAAGTGAAGCCCACTGACATTTTTTTCCTCCACATCTTTTCTGACGTTTTTTTTTCACTAGTTTTGCATTTGGCTAGGGTCAGTATCACTGCTGGTAGCAGGAGGCGCGACCCCACACTGGTGCAGTGTGTCTTCGGGTCCTCTTGGTGCACTACAGTGCTGAACCTCATGCGGTATAATATAGGCAGCTTTTGGCGGATCAAGGAATTGATACCATCGACCAGGCTCATCTGACCTAAATCCAGTAGAACACCTCTGGGACTTCATGTGATGATCCATCCAATGCTGTCAGGCTGCACCCGACTGTCCTGGAGCTCATTGATGACCTGGACCAGATGTGAGATTAGATTTCCCGGGACATCATCCGTCGATGCAAAGCACGCGGTGATCATAAAAACTACCGAGTACCATTCGGAGTTTTCAGCAAAATTGTGTATAGTTGCCTGCATGGAAGTGCAGCTGGAAAATGAAGTCAACATAAACTGCAGTTCCTCTAACGTCCACTCGAGGCTCCGTCGGTGAGTTAGTCCCTATGGACGCCCATGTTAAAAAGTCCAACATTACAGTAGAAACTTGCAGTCTGAGTCCATAATGAATCTGAGAGGGTGATTTTTTTCTTAGAAATTATCCACCTGGGCACAGATGTGGCCACTTTGACTGAAAGAATTAATGAACTGGACTGCTTTAGCTGCCTTTACTGACAAGAAATTACGTCCTGCTTGGTGAAATTCTAGTATTTTAGTACCCTCTTAATTAGTGCTTATTAGAGGGTATCTATGTATCTCTCCCACATTCTTACAGTTTATTTGTGCAGTTTGTTACTGTTAGCAAATAGCTTTACGCTCCAACATCCTGTCTAAATACAATCACTTCTGATTTAAAAACAAAACAAAACAAAACAATGGGGGGTTATCCTAACCCAAAAACCAGTGAGTGACGTCACGGTGGCTAAGTCCACCTTTTACCCACTGGCTGAAAATAACGTTGTTGTGTCCATAGGCAAGTTTTACATAGGGGCATAAACGTGGATAAATTCAAATCTAGAAAAAAAAAGAGAAACTAAAGTGTGAGGATAACTGCTGCGAGTGAGAAGGAAGTCAGGCAAAGAAGCTGACATGGTTTATAATTTCCACATGAAAGAAGAAAAAAAATCCCCAAAGTGAAAACTAACACACAAATATCTAAAATATGTGCATAGCTGAATATTTCACTACGGCCTTTTTTTCCCTTGTTTTGTTGTTTTTGGCAGTATTCACTTACTGGTCGAGCATATCAAACAGCTGGTTGAACACATCTTGGCTGAACAAGTCAGTTGTCTGTGCTGCCTGATTCTGGGACATGGTGGTGAGGAATGAGCCCTCTCTCCAGGACAGACGAGCTGAAGGGTCCCTGAGTCTGCAGAAAGACACCATCAATCAGCTGTAATCATTTTATTACACCCATTCCTGCTCACTTACTGCTGCCATTTCTGAAAAACTATTTTAAAGGGAAGCGTTTTATAGTTGCAAAGTCAGCGAACATAAAAGCTGATGTGCTGTGCTAAGATGCGGCCACCCAGCCAGTGGAGATAAAGGAGGAGGAGGAGGAGTCCTGCTGGCAGCCATTCATGAAAAGCACTTCCATTGTGAAGAAGTCAGCCTACATAATGTTGAATATTTGTACTGCACATAATGGTGATTATGTACCATTCAGACAGAGGCACTTTGACCTGCTGCCTTGAAACATTACACCTGCTTCAGAGCTCTGCCCGCCATTGTTCCTGCTGAAGTGGCGCACGCTGCAGTCTGAGACAGGCGGAATTCCCCCCAACGTCTATATGATAGCACCGCTAAAACTTGTGGTATGCGTACAGCTGGGCGAGCTCGGGAGGGAGGCCGATGGGGCGGCCATAATCTGAAGCTGGCACTATTTTAGGTTTTGGAATTCCCCAACGCTGTGATGAATGATATTAATACCTGTCTTACAAACACAGGCATATCTAATGAAGCAAATAATTTCACGTATGCAGGAGGCTCATATGAGGGAGCGCTGAGAGCTGAGATGAATTTATTTCGCAAAGCTCAAGAATTATTATGGGTAAGATGTCACAGATTAGGGCCTACATATTAATCATGCCCAGACACATTTAATAGAGTAAAGTTAGATGTTTCTGCAACATTAAGACCACGACAAAGCTTGGATTGATCATGAATTACAGCGGCTTGCAAGGAAGCTGTATTTCAGCTCGCCTTGTATAAAAAGCTGCATGTATATCAGACCTGCACAATAATTAAACTGACACGATATGCAGCAAACTGAAACTCCAAAATGCTTCAGTGAATCCAAAAAAAATCGTTCATCTGACCTCTTTCACCTGAAATGTAACATAAATAATTTAATAAAGCCAGAAAAGAATTTAATAAATGTCTCAAATGAGAAGTGCAAAAATAGCACGCACCCCTTTAAACCAGTCTACTAACAAGGACGGTTCCTCACACAGCTGCGTATTTGTGATTTTTATTTTAAACTTGTAACCAACCTAAATATATAAGTTTTGGGGAAGCCTGTAAGCCATTCGTGGCATCTGACCTTAACATAAGATTTGAAAACTAAAACTACATTTTGGGACTTTTAAAACTTTTCGCATCCTATGTCGGATAGTTTTCGGTAACGATTTGCCCTTTCAGCCGCAGAACGCCTCCAGCACGCTGTGCCCCTCTGTACAATATTTAAGTGATGGTGTTACGAAGTAAGGAACCATATACACTACGTGAGGAAAGTCTGCCAAAATAATGTTGCTAAATGCGATGATGATGAGAAAAAAAAGTACTCAAGTATGTGGCAACTTTGTGTGGCTATAAAACACATTTGGGAAGGAAAACTACAAATAGTTAATCAAACAATATAGAAAGTGTTTTTCAGGTGTTCACACAGCTATAGTTGAGATCTGCATTAATAGTCTATAACCTAATTTATTGCCTCTAATTGGACATTCTGTGCTTATCATTATTATGATGAAGAAAGCAGACAGAGCTCAATCTACAAATAACAATAAATATACAACTATTCAAATCTTTATGAAAAGTCACAGGGCTCTTTAGATATACACATATTGTTATTTATATGCATACACATAGGTTTATGATCCAGAACATATATGAAAATGCTCAAGCACATCCAGCAGCTTTTTCTTCTCTGCTTTTTCTGCTATTAATTTGTTAATTTTTAATTTCATTGTATGTACTCTTACTTTATGTAAAAAGTCACAGTGTGCATAGTTGCCATCTAGATCCTAAATTTATGTTACACTGCTAACACAGACCCCACACATACCAACTGGACACCCACTGAACAGACAAATTTAATATATTTACATTTTTACAGCTTTTAAAAGCCTTTTTGTTTATGATTTTATGTTTTAAATTGTAATGAAAATATAAATTGTTTTTTTTTAAAGATATGAATATTAAAAAGAATAAAGCATACTGTATATCTCTCTTTGACTGGCTAAATATTGTCAACTACTCACACGTGAGTGCAACCTAGCACATTTACAAAATAAGTTCACCGTAAATCGAATGCATTTGATTTTTATATAAAACAAAAACCTAAAATATGAGTTTTGCAGAACTCAAACTGACCAGTGGTTTACAGCTGTAGACTCTCAAATTGGCAGCTGTTGAAAATGTTTGAGAGCAAATGTGATGTTACATTAACGTTTCGTTAATGTAAAAAAGAAAATGAAAACCGCTACAAACTTGTACGCAATAAGCCCCACCCAAACCAACTGCAACACAGATATCCTCCTTTTACATGAATGCATGAGTAAGAATATCTAAGAGTGCACCTCGTTGACTGCCGTCAGCCTACAGGCGCTATGATGACATTTACTGATGGCAGCGATTGTTTATCTGTTGTGTCACATCAATTTTGTGCAGGCTAAATGTTTAAAGATCGCGAGATAAGGAGCATAAAGACTTTCTAAAGATTCATCTATGGCCATAGATGAATCTTGGCCATAGATGAATCTATGGCCAAGATTCATCATATATATGGTTCATATATGGTAAATCCATATTGGTACCATATAAAGGTACCAATATGGATTTACCAATAAATCCATATTGGTACCTTTACCAATATGGATTTATTGGTAAAGGTATCAATAAATCCATGTTTACAATTACAGTGTAAAATCCTTTCAGTTCATCCAGACTAACAGTCTAAGGATAAAACGTGTAAAAGTATAACACTAAATACCTTCAGTACTTCCATAACAAATTTTTAAGGCATTATTTGACAATATGCTGTTAGTACTTTTGCTTAAGAACTCATTCCTGCTAAAGACTAAGCATTAAGTCACAGAAGGAATTAAACTGACAGATAGATGCCAAGATTTATTTATTTTTTAAATCTATGAATTAAAAAAAAATTAATCAACTTATTTGTGCATATTGTTGTACAGCCAACAGAAAACATGTGACATCAACATCGGAGTTATTAATATTTTTCACAGTAATTCATAATATAATATAAACTGCTTTAAAAATGCAGAATTTGCCCCAGAATAAGGTTTTAAATGCTTATTTTTTTCTACTATTTTTGCAATTGCAACATCGTCCCATACATTTAAATTCAGGATTTTATATGGTTTCTTCAGAAGCACTGAAGATTAAAGAGCAAAAAAAAAAAGAAAGAAAGAAAAAAGAAAATAAATAAATAAAATAATTTGTAAAGAATAATAGCAAAATAAATTGTGATATTCTTGATATGATCCATTATGCTAGGGCTTACTGACTCATAAAAGCCATCTCTTCATCCTTATCAACATGTTGCTTTGTTATGAATACATCCAAATCACAGCAGTATCTCTTCAGAATCTATGTCAAAATAGGGATTGATTTATTTTTATTTATTTTTTTTACTTTGAATAGCGCCAACACGCTTTTGTAGGAAAGCATTTACAGCAGTACACAAATCAAAACCTGGTGGCTTAGCTGCCTGTTCACAAGAGCACACGAGGAGTTTGAAGGAAACGTGCCAAAGAGGGAAAAAAAAATCACAAAGGATGACTTAAAAAAACAAACAAAAAAAAAAAAAACAGGTAAATGGCAGGTAGAGCAGGTGAGTTGTCATCTGTGTTCAAGGAGAAAGGATTTAGGTGTGGTCATCCACGTGACCTGTGCCTCACATTAACTCCATTTCATTCTTTAATTTTCTTTTAAAATACAGAAGAACTAGTTTAACTGACATCCCATTAACTTGTCCAAAAGACTTTTGAGCTTTGCTTCTTGGTATTGTCTGATCACCAGTCAGCATCCAGAACTAAAGCTGTTTATCAGGTTCTCCGTGTACAGCCATCCAAGCCTATAAATACACTAAAACAGTTTAATGGAAGAATAAAATAGCAGATCTGCAGCCTAACCCTGCTGATGTCCTGCACTACTTTGTGCTTAAGAAAATAATTTTCATTGTTGTAATAAGGCACACATGTCCACGTTCAAATGCATGCCACATAAATGCAATATTCTCTTTTTTATCATCATTTCAAAGCAGTTTTATTTTACTAACAGACTTTCGAGATGGGCTTTGTCCCTTTTCTGGCTGCATTTTGTCTGCGTTTGGGTGTCTGGTTACTCTGAGAGGTTTTCGGTTAGCCCGAGGCAAAGGCTGTTCAGCATCCACTTAAACACAGTGCAGCGCCTCCAGACGAGACTGGGGCAGAGGTCAGCACTAAACAGGGATGGCTATTGTCTCTTGGCAGGTTGTGCACACCGACCGATGAAAATGCAATCAAAACAAACAGCCCAGCCGATCGGGGTCCTTCTCCAGTGTCATTATTAATCACTTTTCAAAGGCCTAAGACCTTCTCCCCCTCATCCGTCAGCCGAGGCTGGAAAAGGGACATGAGTGAAAAACAACAGAAAGCACCAGAGTTTCTCCTCCTTTTATTTTGATCATCTGGTGCAGAAGGGAAGGTAAGGCGTAGAAGGCAAAGGATACAAGACAGGTGGAGGGATTTACAGGCCAAGGAAGATACTTTTCATCCCTTTTCAAAAATAGTTACATTGTTTTCAAATTTGTGCCACAGCCAGAAAGCCAAAAATGTCATCAAGCAAAACAGAAAAACTAAAAAAAAAATAAAATTACAAATGTAACTGTTAAACTCAACTACAAGAGGGCTATGATGGTAAATTTAAAAGGGCAAAAAGCACACAGAACACATCCAATCTGCAAAGAATTTAAAGAAGATCTGCATTTCAATATTTTAGAATGAGAGAAGAAACACTCATTTCTTCACAGTTTTGGTGCAAACTGTATCATTCATGTGCAATTATCAAAGCCTATAGAAGGTACAGTACTAGCACATGCACTCCCGTTGAGGTTCAAAAATCTCCAGAAGAGGACCTCCAGATGTCATGTAATCTGCCTGCCTTCAGCCCTGATTGCCCTTTACACATGCATTGCTGCCATAAGTATGCTGCCCTTATAAATATATCAGGACCGAGCAGCAGCAGCTGAGGATCCAGGCAGACACAACTGTTCTCGGGCCGTTTTGGACCTCCAGACAGCGTGAACTGCAGCGCGGGTCAAACAGGAGCAGGGAGATTCCCAGCCAGCAACTCCTACATCATTCTTTAAACTTAATGTAAGGCTCATTATGAAGGAGTATAGCTACACTTCGAATCCATGCGACACATATTGTTTAACTAATTAGGCAAAAAACAAAAACACATGACCTCAATACAGTCTACCGTATAAGTACGTGTGAGTATAGGTCATCAATTTCGACAACCTTTAGGTACTTACCGCCGAAAGGGAAACTCAGGGTAATACTGCACAGCTGTGTAAGGTGAATTCATGTTGTCATGCCAGAGTTCACTTTGCTGAAAGCTTCAGAATGATCAGCTTGTCATAAATGGATCAATAGCTGTGCTTGAGCTATGAGAAGCAATTAAAGTACAATAAAAAAAAAAATACAGTTAAAAACACAACCAGGCCTGGATTAAAGTGCCGGAGGGTACAGTGCAGAGTGCAGAAAGTTTGAGAGATGTTTTGAATTTAGGTATTTTTTCTTAGGCTACCCAAAATAGGCGGGGCTTGTGCCTTCTTTCTGACCAATCCCCTGCTCCAGCTGTACAAGATATCACTCACTCTCAGTTGCTAGGATATAGATATCAAGCAACTACATTTGACCCCAACACACAAACACCCACACACCCACACGCCAGCAAGCCACTATCCTGAAAAGCTCCCCACTTACACCCCACTCCTCTGTTCTGATATTTCTACCCAGACTCCCGAGCGGATTTTGCGGCCCGAGAGCACGTCTGTTGCGTCACGCTTCTCAGCGAATACTGAGAGGGTTTCGGGCGCGCTGAATATTTCCACAAACGTGCCCCGAATAGCAGCAACTGTTCACTGTGTGCCGATTCAGCAATTTTAAGGAAGTGAAACAAACTCTTATGTCAAGAACTGACTGTTCTCGTGGAAAAAATGAAGAATGAGAATCCCCTTTAAACCTAAACAGACACCAGATAAAAATACTTTATCATTACAGTAGCCTACATAAACTCATATTTAGGCAAACGCTGAAATCGTGCCACATCCTGGCACATACTTCCAACTCAACCACCCTCTTAGCCAAGCAGTATGGCAATGTAAACCTAGAGGTGTTGTGTGGTTTTCAGAGATGAACAGCAGATGAATCAGTATGCTAAAATAAAAGGAAGGGTCACCGCAGGAGGAATGATAATAAATAGATGTGGTGTATCCAGGGAACACAAACCTTTAAGCTGCTCTCTTGTACTTTTAATAAAGATATAGAGCCTCTCTCTGCCCGCGGTGCACCTGTGAGACACGGCACTGATACAGCGGATACTGTGTGCCAACCTGGTGACGAGACACTGTGGACACACGGCCTCTATTTTTAACATACTGTATTGGAAGGTTTCATATCAGCATTTTCACACTCGGCGGAGTTCGTAATGAATGAAGCACCCTCTTTGTTTGTTTCTCAGTGTAAAGAACATCTGGACAGTCCACTAATCAAGTAAACTCGTACGCTTTTGTGATGCATGTCACATTTTGGTGACGGACTGTGTGCTTTCTCAGTCATCCAGGGCATTTGAGTTGAAGGTAACTGGACTTCTGAGAGACCTGTAACTACCTTGAACCCAAGCATTCAGGACCACATTTTGTGGTTTATTGTAAAAACAAACCCAGAATTGGTCACATTACATTTCCCGCCAATAAATATCCACTCGTGAATCTCCCACTCCAGTCTTTTGAAGCCTGAATGACCATCTCTTTCTAAATGTGGCAAATTCAATGGACAGCCAAGAAGTATTATTTTTATTATACTGTAGGCTATGTATTGTTTTGTACTGACTAGTTTATGGAAAAGAGTCCCATCAACCCTAGAAAGGCTGAACAGGTGCACCTGTATAAATAGTTGCATGACCCAGCTCTCAGAGACCGAAAACAATCAGCCTGATTGCCATTAGCCACTCCTTTTATACTGCTGCAAGCTTGGAGTAAACCTAAAATACACATGCATTGCAGTAAGGGTCTGTGCTGATGAATCAGCGTGGTCACAAAAAACTGGAAAGCATGAAGACATCAACGCACTCACGGAAGCAACTACAACACTCGCTTCAGATCGATGAAAACAGAGCGATCGCAAGTTTAGCAGCTATAAAAACAATTAAATAATTCACTTATATTAACAATATTTCAAAACATTTCATAGCTGTCAAAATGGCCTTACTCTGTCATGGACCAGTGACTTTCCAGACACCATTTCTTGCTAATCCATCCAAACTGTGTTGATGTACTTCGGTCTGGAGCAACCACCTAAGAGACAGTGGATGAGCAGCACTGCCATCTCCAAGTGACAGTTTTAATTCTATATATTAGGTTTACCTATCCTGACTTCTGTTGTTGTCTTCGAGGTGCAAACTGGGGTAAATACCTAAAACGACAGTGTTAACATTCGGGATATTTAGGGTATTTCCTGTGTAACAAAGAACTCGCACCAGCAAAGGAGTTTTTGGGCTTCCCCAACAATAAATCACCAGGAGTGTAATTTTAAAAGTTGGGTTTAACTTACCTAAGCTTTGACACATACTTATTAATATTTTTCTTAACTGGATTTCATATTTTGAATGAGTAAAAAAAACGTAAATTTCAATTTATGGGTGTAGTTTATGAACGCTACATGAATGACACGACATAAATAAACTTTCATGTGTAGCCTCAGGGTGGAGGCTCCTAATGATGCTCAAATCTAAACCTGCCACAAAAGCGGGTAAACAAGAAACACCCTAAAAACAACACAAGTTCACAAGCAGAAAGCAAATAAAAGAACAATATGCACAACTCACTCACACACTAAGTTACATCAGATGTGACTGAGCTGTGACTTTCAGCCACTTCTTCAAAAATCATTTTAAAAATTAAAAAAAAGAAGCTGAAAACAAGTTGAAAAAGAATTTTAGATGGAAATTTAACCCCGGTGCCTCATCAAAGCCAGCAACAAACACTCCGCTTAATTGTGGCGCTGCATTTTGCACGATCTTCTACAAAAAACCACCAACGGATGTGAACACCAAATGATCAAATACGAGACCGTGTTGTGATATAACCGAATCATTGAGAGGATCCGCCATTGTGCTGCATGTCTGCTGATCTGATTTCTAAAATTAGTAAAGCTAGGCTTAACTGCTCATAGTTTTGTAATCACATTGACTTCTAATTTGGTTTAAAAAAGTCCACAAGCTGCCAATTTTTATGAAATTTTTAGAGACGTGAAAGTCTGAAATGAGTCACACCCAACGACCGTGCGAAAGTATGAGCAACTATTTCCCCCAAGGTCACTGCTGGAAATACCAGCGACCGTTGTTGGGTTGCTCTGTGAAACATGGTTCCCAGCTGAAAAATGACAACCAATCACAGCTCACATAAACACGACCATAGTAAAAACCCACTTGTAAAATCCCATGCTAATTATTAGGTTATTTAAGCAACAAACCTCTCTAAACCTAACACACACACTGCAGCTTTGACCACCTCCCAGCACAACAAGGACAAACTGACCTCAAGATATCATTAAATCTGATATTTACACCGACACACGAAACCCTTACATCATTAATTACTCTAAGGCCCAGGCGCTGGAAACCAGTCACCGAGCCGCTATTACTTCATTTGAGATGTATGTGTGTGTTTATGGGTTAGCAGCTACGTCAGGGACATCTCTGGTACTGTCATCAGTGGGAGAGCACATATGTCTAAAGTGGTGATTATTCTCACAGGCCTCTGGTTAGAGAGCGTTAATCCCGCTTTAATCTGCAATTGTATCTGCAGATCAAGCCAAAAATGGCAACCAGCCTGAGTGATCGGTGTGCTTAATTCATTCTGGTGTGTTCATCGTGCTGAAGGCATTATATACCCGGTTCACACAGCCTTATTAATGTCAGGAGTTTACATACAGGATGCCAACGAGCAGTTGGTGGAGCAGCTGATGAGGTAGCAGCGACGCTCGCTGCACTGTGGAGTGCTGCATTATCAGTGTCAGTCACACACACCACGCCGAGGCCAATCACTCTCACGCCGTGTGGGGGTTATGTGGGCATACTTGTGTGCGTCTGTGTGTATATTCTAGTTGGTGACTAATGCAGGGGAAATCCAGATGAGTCAAAACTACCAGTGTCCGATGCAGTGTCTGAGAAGCGCTAATTTACAGCCTATGCACTAAACTGCCCAGCAACTTGGCATTGTTCCTGTCACCTCTATAGGGAAGTCTTGTGTTCGGGCAGTGTGAAGAACCGTTGAGGGAAGGGATGAAAAACGTAGTAAACAAGAAAACGAATCAAAACATTCCCAGCATAAATTCACTTCCTGGAGGGTGGAATATTTTGACATTCAGACAACCAGTCCTGTACTTCCATAACGACAAAAAAGATAAACAGCCGTGAACTGCCTCGAGCTTTCCCATGTGACCCACAGAACCTGTATTTCTATTGAATCACTGAATCATTATTTGTAGTAATATTCAGACTCCCAGACAATTATTGATGCTTTCCCACGATATGATTCAAGGTTTTCTTTATGCGTCTTTTGTTACAGTGACTTTTACACCTGAGATCAGGTTGTTGCCACGTTGGGAAAATCAACCTTGCCTGCAGCAACTGAAAGGCAGTGAGCCAGAGTTGAAAAATACATCCAGTATGACTGCCTTTAGCTGGAATCCAGATTTGTTTGTTAAATGTTTGTTATGCTCAAATTGATGAGTTGAAATGTAAAGAAGGGATATCTGAGAAATGAACTCTTAATGCTGTTGCGGTTAAAGTGGCATTCATTTTTCAAACCAAGGCAGATTCCAGAAGTTTTTGTTTATCTGTTTTTATTTAAACATTAAAACAAAATCTACAAAGCTGAAACTCCATGACAAAAAGAAATCCACAGACATTTTGTGCGCAATAATGAATCTTGTAAAACAAAGCACCTTAAAGTAGTAACATTGCTTGGCCACCAGCAGAGGCTGTATGCAAAGAGCATCCCTCTAGTTAAATGTTTAACTAGTATGTTGAGGCAAAACAAAAACCACTAACATACAGGTAAAGGTAGAACAAGTAAATGTGATTCCTAAGTTCAACAAACCAGGGAAACTGCATACCAAGAATAGCAATTTCAGAGGTATCGTAATTACCGATGTAACAGATCTACGGCGTCCGAGCTAAGTCGCTGAAGAGATTGGAGGTGGTGTCAAAAGCCCGTTCCCGTTAGCTGAGATCTGCTATAGAACGAAAAAAAAGCCACTATGATCATTTATAATTTTCTGTAAGGTTGTTCAAATAACATTTGTGTGAAGTAGCCATCATTAACTTTTAGCAAACAGTGCACTTGAAAGGTAGCATGAGTCTCTTTCCTAAAAACAAACAGTGAGTGAAAATGAAAGTAAGCTGTATGTTAAAGAGCAACAAAAAACTGTCAAAACTGTCTGACATCAGGTGTAC